CATAAATCTTCTAAACAAAACAAACTCTTAGTAAAATAACATTTACTGGAGCCACCAGCTTATGCCAGAGACAGCAGAAAGTTGCTAAATAGCTCTAACCCAAGAGGATGTTTACAATTTAAGATTTGTTTAGCACTTATGGTATAGTTTGTGCCATATGCTCTCTTATTTACAGTTTTCCCTACAAAACATTTTTATTAGATGAGGAGCACAAGCAACTTTCTAGCTCTATGCCTTCCCGTGTATCATAGCTGTTCATCACAGCTGGGATTGTCCTCCTGTAGCAATCTGTAACTGAGTAACATGTCCCTTGAATTTTTTTATCTGGTCTCTGGCAATAGAGAAAAGTTGCAGCTGATGAGCCTGAGTTACTGAAACCTGATCTGATAGAATGGAGCATGCAAGCAATTGGTTTTCTGGGAGAAATCTTGGGAGAAAACCTCCTTTGGAGATTGTTTCCAGCAGATAGCCTGGGACAGCCTGGAGTGAGTCTTTTAGTAAGAAGCAGCAAGCTTTGTGTTATTAATCCTACTGAAGCTGCAGCAGCAGTAGTACATTAGTGAGCATAAATTGTCACAAACAGTCTAAGGTGAAGGGCTAAAACTGTCAGTCACCACAGAAGGGCTTTTACATTCCTCCTGGCCTCCTTGAGGGGACTCAGTGTCAAATATTTTGACATACAGTGGAAAATCAGGGAGTAAGCCAGAAAGGGCTAGGGAAAAAACATCTGGAATGACATAAATGTCAGATTGACCAAGGAACTGCTTTTCTTGCATTTCTGAGTGAGATTTCACTCCTGCAATACAGCAAATAATTCAAAATCCTTCTTGTGTCTGAGGAGGGAAGTCCTTTCCTTTACTGACAGGGGTGTATTTCTGCTGGCCCTTTCTATATAGTTACTGTGTTTTCAAGCAGTACCCATGCAGCATAAATAACTGGGGGAAGTGAGTGACTTCTAGTTTTTACACCAGTTGAATTTTTGATAGTAATCTAGTAGTATGTTTTCAAAATCATAGATGAATAAGAGGGAAGCTGAGCCTTTGATTAACTGGAGGGAATAACAGGGCAGCAATTAGCTTTGAAAAGTCAACAGTGAATAAATTAGGCGTACAATTCAGAACAAATAAACATGGCAATATTCTGCTACTTTTCTAAAGTGGTTTTCAGGCTACCCCCATGGGGAGTGTTGATCATTGGATCAATTCCACTCAATGGAAAAAGTTTCTATATAGCTCTGACTGTCTTACCATTTTACCTGGTGATGGTTTTTCATCCAGTGAGTAAAGAAGTGGCACTTGTAATGGCCAGACTTACAATGTTCCATTTGATGTTTCTGTTTACACTTTTCCTGAACTTGCTGTTGCTGTTTATATATCTTGTCTATGTGCGGAGCGTACTTCCTCTGCACCATTCTCACTCAGAAAGAAATAGGAGGCTGTTAGGAATGATATTGCTTTGTTCAAGTATCACTGACCATAGTCAGTAGGCAAGAAAGAGTACCTTCACTCTCCAGTAAAATGGAGTCAATGGGGTTTGGCTCAAAGCAGAGTGCAGAAGCAAACTTGATAACTGTCACTCCTTTTAATTTTATCTCAGCCTATTCTTAAGTCTCTAGCAAATGTGCATACATTTTTTGAGGATCTTCACTAAAAATAGATCAAAGGTGCTAGTTTGGCTGTAAACATAATACATCTGGCATCTTTGAAGTAAGCTGTTTCACGATTTCACTGAAATTAAAACAGCTCACTAACTGTTAATTAAGCATCCTCATCTGGTGGGCCACAGCCTATAGAAATAAAACTGTAAATAGTAAAGTGAAGGAAACATAAAAGAGTTTCTTTTGATCTGGAGTTTCTCCCCATCAGAATGAGATCACAAATGCTTCATTATGTTTTATAGACTGATGGAAGTTCAAAGCTAACACTAGACAGAAATTAGTTGTCATTACTTGATTAAATGTAGATCATTCAGTCAGATATGGTTATTGGTTATGGTAATTCCTGCAAGAGTGCATCCATGAATAAAACTAGCAAGTATAGTAATCATACACAGTCACAAAAATGTTTAGTCTGTTCTTGGAGCACCATTACTACTGATGGAAATAAAATTCAGCATTTTACTATGGAATGCCAGAAATAAAATAGGAAGTAAGACGTTGGGGACATTTAAAAAGATGCAAGTTTCATCAAATATGGAGCTGTCCCTAGCTGATAGCCAAAGGACCAAGGATATACCTCTACTGACTGGGGGTAGCAACAAAAGCCCATCATTGACTGTATTTTCAATCAAACATCTCTGCAAAAGCTGCCTGCAGAAAGGAGCTGGGGATTCAGGAGCAAATGACTATGGATGAGGCAGACTGTTGAGCTGTGTAGAAAGCAGTAGCTTTAATGAGCAATTCCATGACAAACAAAACATTCAGGCATGAGAGTAACAAACAAGCAGCCACAGGGATGTAGGTTCGTTCCTAGTCTGCTGTATTTCTGCTTTTGGACAGCTAGAGGTACAGTTTGAAGAGAACTACTGGCACAAGCACACAGCTGAAGAGAGCATAGAAATCATTCCCAAGGTTGTATTGAATGACAATATTTTTTTTAAAAGAAAAGTTATACCAACATTTTCCAAGGTATAAACTGGATCTTGTGTATGTGCATTACATTTCCACTGAGCGCCTAACACGTGGCTGTGATTGAAAAATGTAAAAATTCCTCAAAATCTGGGTTTTCTTGGGGACGGGAAGAAAGAAACCAAGGTTCTAGGTTTAGCCAAGTGTATTTATTTTTGAGGGCTGATTTTGTATCCAGTATTTATTTTTGAGGCTGATTCCTGGCCTTACTGACTGCAATGAACTCCTCGTCAACAAAACAGCACAGAGATACAGCCACTTTGTCTGGTTTACTCTGCTTCACAAGCTCTCCAGCTCTGAAAGTCTATTTGAAACTGTGAGGAAGGCAAAGAAGCTTTTCAGATTCAAGCAGACTGTCCTTCCTTGAGGAAAACTTCCCAACCACCACTGATGATGCAAGGGACAGAATATCCTGTGCCAAATAAAAGCAAAGGGCTGCTCAGATTGTTCCAGATCTACGTGATCCTCAAGGCAGGAAGAAAGACTTGGGGTTTTTTGTTTACCATGGCTGGCTGTGCCTGGGACACAGAATATGTCTTTGGTGGGACAGGACAGTTTCTCAAGGGTGAAACAGAGTTCACTAGGAATACGAGTGTTCATATCTCTCACCAGCACTTTTACTGGACCTACTTCGGTTGTTTGACAAGTGGGCATTTGGTCCTCTGCAGGATTTTCTGTTCTTTTTGCATCCCTGTAGTCCCTTTTTTTCCAATTTGATGCCCTAGTAGGAAAAACACAGGAGATGACATATGCCTGAGCTGCTAACATTGAAAGATGCATTAGATGCAATTTTACAAAAATTAGGGTCTGTTCACTGCAAGCACAATTTTACAAGAGTTTCTTTGTCCAGCATATGAACCATAGATAGTCTCAAAGCAAATAGAAGCAAATTAGCAAAGTCTGATGTACGGTCAGTATTTAGGAACAATAAAGTAGAATAAAAAAAGGTAATTTCTTCCAGGGTATTGCCCATGAATCTGAGACTTTCTGGGTGCTTTACATAAAGTTTTACGGTTTGACATATGAGTAAAACTTTCACCTGATTTTACTAATTTCAATCATTACCTCCTTTCTTTTATAAGATCAATATACTTGATAAGAAGAAGGGTTTCAGCTAATGAGGGCAATATAATTGAAAGGCTATTCAACATCCTTTTTCTTGAACAAATATTCCCAAGAGTCAACCTCAACTTATTATTTGGAGTTTAAGGTTAAGAACTACAACCCCCCTGATTATTTATTTAAAGGAATCCAAATATAGCTTCTTTTAATTCTTTAGTACCTAGAGAATAAAACAGCTGTCAGCAATCTGTTCTTCTGAGAGGCGTTCATAGGAACACTAAGTCTGTTGTTTCTAATTTCAAAAATACAACCATAGTCAATAGTCAACCGCAGACAGGTGTGCAGTCCAAATATAAATTTTGTATTTGCCAGCACATATGCACATTAAATATGAAGATCATAATACTAAATTTTACACAGTGGAACAGTAAGAGCTCTAAAATTAATATCAAATGCCTTGACACTGTCAGATGGTTACCAGGTGCCTTACACCATGAATTTCACATTATTAGGACACATTTTGTGGTACAATATGTCATTGAAATTGCCAAATTCAGGCGCTGAATTATGTAGGGTAAAATTTCTCATGCTGGACAGATTTAAGTGGCTTAATGCATGGAAGTTATTTTGTCCCATGGGCTCTGTGAGCCATAATATAGACATTTTGAAGTGGGTAAGCTAAGGATCACTGAACAAGGTCACCTGGTAAAGTGGTGCGACCCCACTGTTTATGGCCAGATTGAATAGATTCACAATTGTCTATAGTTCTAAATAAAACAAAGTCCCAGCTTCAGATTTTACTTTGCATACAGTGAGTAAAAAAAGTATATGATGTACTCCTGGCCATATGATATACTCACTGGCAAAATTCCTATGGAGTTTTAAAAAAACTCTGACCACTGACTCTAAAAGGTACTATTATAATATCAAAAAATGAAATAGATAGAGACTGAGCATAGAAATAGAAGTTGCTTCATTTAGTATAACACATTGTGTGAATTAAAACTTACTTTTTGTCTTTGTTTCTTCTCAACTAAGAACAGCAACATGTCTGAGGATGTGTGGAAGAACTTGCGTAGAACCTCAAAATAAAGATACTGAAGTTCCAATGGAGTTTCTTTTCCCATGAAACAGTGCACAAACACTATTTTTAAAAAAGGAAGGGAGAGGAAGTTGAGGAATGAAACCAAGCATTCTAAGGTATTCCTGTATGAGAGTCCTATTTCATTTATCCAGGAATAGTGGATGTGCTGGACAAAAGGAGCATATTTTGACATGAGGGCACAATAGCTGCAACCATGAACATTCACACTCTCACTTTGCTCACAACTCCCTTTTTTTGCAAGCTTGTGTGCATGCCTGGAATGTCCACACATTTCTTATACAAATGTTGGACTGGAAATTGTCACCACGTGTGCCTCCATCTCTAAGCACTGGAAACACACTCTCTGCTGCAGTGGCTGGGAGCACCTTCAGTGAACAACCAGGACACCATCAAAAGCCATTGAAGAGGCAGAATAAACAGAGCAGTGTACTGATAGCGTTTTATTGCTTTGAAGGAAATATCTGAGACTGGTAGTGACCCAGAAAGCCTCTTTAATTGGCCTATGGCTTTTTATTTAATAAAGTTTTGATAAGCCCAAGTTGATCTTGAGTAATGTATTGGTATGGAAACAATCTAGTTCAAAGGACGATTAATCCGTTCCAGTGTGATAAATGTTAAGCAAGGATAATTAACTCCAGATTTTTACATTCAAGAACTTAAGCTTCTGCATGGCTAATCAAATACATAAAATGGTAAGGTAATGCAGAAAGTCTGATTGCATCTCACATGGCCCACCAGAAGCCTCATCTATCAAAAAAGAAATAATCTCATTCTCGAAGCAAGTTGACAGTGCAGTCAGATATTGCACCTAAAACTATCCATTTCACATCTAGCCATCCATCCAAAACATAGTGGTTGGGCATTCATCTTGGAAGGATATCTGTAATCCACATGCTCTTTCACACGACTTTGCCAATGTATACGAGTGTTCATTTTGATCTCCTGTTGGAAGTACTCAATTTATATCATCCTAGATCAAAGTGGATGTCAAATCACTAAAATCTGGAATCAAATCTGGCAACCTTGAACATACCTTTAAATAATTTGACCACATGTAGTGTACAGTTCTCAGATGCATCTCCATATTTTGGGAAGTGAAGTCTGACATGCAAAATGAAGTATGAGATTCACTACCAGAAACTGATATTTATCCAGGAGGTAATAGTTACCATAAAGCACCCTTTTCCCCTTTTTGAATAAATGATACTGTGAGACTAATAAGACTTCAAACCATAAGTTTTTGCCAAAAAAAAGGGAAAAACCAGTAAATTTAGAATGTTTCTGAATAAGTAAGGAGATTGGTAGAGAACAGTTTGAGGGGGGGCAGTTGCTATTGTAATCTTCCTGTAAGATTTGGGCTACTTGTGCTAGAGGCAAATAGGAAAATTATCACCAGAGAATAATTACCGAGTTCACACTGACACCTTTTTGGCATGATTGCCATGTTTCCGGTACTTGATTGGTCAAATTACAGCTGTCACTGCAATGTGCCATTTTTGAAGAAAATGAAATGGTTATTCAAAACAAAGTCTTCACTGTTGAGTTGTATAATCCTCATGAAGTACATCATCTGGAGTTTCTGAAACCTCCACAGCTGAAGTAAATACCAAGATGCAAAGCAAAGACAAAATGGAAATGAGTAACAAGTCTTGGGGCTAAATTAAGTCTTCACTTGGACTGTTGCAGCTGCAGTGAATAGAAAACTCAGGCATTAGACTCTAATGTGTGCAAATGTTTCTCCAACATAATTATGATCTGACTTCCAAAATAGGTTTTAGAAAATTATAAAAAACTATGTTTGTTTCTGCCTGGAAAAAAGTTTGAAGGAAAGAAGTCACTTAAAGAGTTGCAATGTTGTTCGAAGAAAGGACAAGCACATCACCAAGGTGTCCTTTTGAAACTGTGGAGTGTGATTGAACCAAGTAATGAGAGTTTGCCAAAAGCACAATAAGATAGGATGCTCAGAGGGATTGTGAGAAATCATGCTTGGGCACTTGAAAATTTTCTACTTTGTTTGACTGTTTAAAAGACACCTTCACAGAAAGAGACACAATTTTTCATTATGAGATGCTGAAAAGTGCTCCAAAATGGGCAGAAGTGGACGGACGGAACAAAGTTCCTATTTTAACACAGAATTGTAGTTCATTAAAAACTGTGAGAAGACAGAAGAGAAATTAAAAACTTGACATTCACCATTCTAAGTCAGATATAATGCCGAGAACTGAGAAATGATTAGATTACTAGAAAGAAACAAGACTAATGGTATAAAACTTTTCCTATTTCCAGACATTAATTTGGTAATCGAGGCCAGAAGAGCTGAAACCTAGCAAGCAGCATTTTACAAAAAGCAGGAACTGAAGCTGATACCACTGTTCCCAGTACCCCTAGCAGATGTGAGTTGCTTAAACACTAAGTTTGGGAGTTTGGAACCATGTCAAGAATGCCATCAATAAGCAGCCCCTAGCAGGATTCAAAGGATATCTTCTGCTATGCAGCAGCATGGAGTTTCTGTTTCTGTTATTGGGATTTATTTCACTCTGTGGAGCTTCTTTTTGTTTCAAATGTTTGGATGATGGGTCTACTAGAAACATGTCATCAGAAGACAACCACATTTCCCCTCCATTATTATATGTGCACACCAAAAGAGAAATCAGCAAGACTGCCACCTCTGAATGCTCCTGGTTGGGGAAATCTCCCGTGAAATACAAGCATACGAAGAAATATTTAAATGTCTATTTCTGCATCACATGTGCTTCAGAATATGTCAGAGCCTGAGTATAACTGCAGTGGGTTACTAAGGGTTGGAATAACATCAGTAAACGTCAGAACAATAATTGGACACTCAGAGAACTTGAGCTCCATTTTTACATGTAGAGACATTGTAAGATTATATCTCTTCGTAAATATCCATGTGAAATTTCTCCTAAACCACAATCTTAATAAAACAACTTAATAAAAATAGGAAATTTATTTGAAATGGAAAAACCCTGATTTTTTATTTTTTGCACTCTGGCAAAGGATTTGCACAAATGCTTGAAAGTTCCTAGGTTTGGCTCTTTCTTCAGATTTCTCCAGATTTTTTCCCCTAGAAAGAGAATAAAATGTTAATACAAAACAGTTTGAGTTTTGCATCATATTAATATACTGATTTTCTCAATAAGAGAGAAGAAGAGGAAACCTTCCTGTGGAGGAACAGGCAATGTCCTGAGGACAACCTGAAATGCCAACTTAGCATTTTTGCACTTCAAAAATATCTTTGACATTTATAAACATCCATGATGGTAAAATTGAGGCTGTTAAAAATACATGGTTTACTTCAGTAGTTTATAATTCACAGTGGCATTTTAGTGGGTGGAGTTGTAAATTAGTAAGTGGACTGCTGCCACAGCAGAGTAGGCTGCTGCTCTGCAAAGGAGAATCTTTGCTAAGAATAGGAATGTGGTCACGATGATAATGAACAAGGGCTCAGCCTGCCTGAAACACTGATGGGAGATCAGAAGATGGTTGTTGGATGTGTAACAGCTGCTCTAGAAATTAGATGTTATCAAAGATTTGTTTGAAAGATTGAATTGGATGAAAGGCATTCAAAGCTTAACCAGAAAGACCTGGTTTCAATTTTTAGTAGCACCACCTAAAGGCAGGGTAGCAAATGAAATATTTATGTTGTAGATAAATTGGAAGGTACTATTTTACAGCCAACAAAATGCTATGTTTATTCTGCTGCAAGAGGGTGGTAAGATTGCAGCAGTCTATACACATAAAAACATCTTTTTCCCTTTTGCTTTTAAACAAAGTAGATTAATCTGCCATGAAAGCATTATAATATGTTAATCAAGTATTTGATCTGGTATGTCAAACACTCAAACAAAAAACTCAGCTACTTCCTGGAAACAATATTAATGTTCTCAATAAACTCAGCATTTTAAAGAGATTTCCTGGAGCAGGGAGAGGGGGATGAAGACAGGGAACACTTATGACTAGGGTGATTTGTTTTTCGACTGTTAGCTGTAAAAAGCCTTATCCCAAGGTTGCAAGCCAACCTTGGGAAAAGGTTATATCAGAAATCAGGAGTGAAGGGTGCAGATAGATAGATGTGGATGGCTAGGTAAAAAACATGCCACCTTCAAACTTTTGGACACTTTACTTACTGAGAGCTGCTATGAGATTGCTGTTCAGCCAGAAGTAGAACAGAAAATATTATGAACCCAAATGCGTAACAGACTGACCTGCATGACTGCAATAACTTCATGGTTTTGACTGCTTGAATTCCCAATCAGCAGACATCAACACAGTGCTCTCACTTTTCTGGCCTTAAGAACCATTCTTGAGCTATGTCAGCCTTAAAGCAATCCACAGGAAACTTTCACTGAAAAAGCAAAAAAAAATCTGTATGAAAACATTGTGTCTACTTCACACCCTGCACAACCCTTTCCTATGGGGCCCTGCTTTGATCCCTGTTTGTGCTGGCCAGCTCTCAGCCCCCCAGCGCACTAAGGGCTGCACACAGATGTTACGCTGCTGAACAGTTTGTCAGCAGAGTAAAACAGGTCCCCTATTCTGTAGAAAAATGAACAACAAAGTGATTTTATCACAAAAAGTTTAATCTGGCTCTTTTCTGATTCAGGACAATGGACATGATCACAGTAGAAGACATTTTGAGATGCATGATAACAGTCCTTCCTTAAACTTCTCCCAGATACCCAAGTGTTGATTTCATTCACCATTAAATAGACAAAAGAACTTCTCAAAAGGCATGGTGTGCTAGTAACCTATCACACTCCACTGAGGACTTGTCCATATGGTGCTCAATGATTACTGTGTGTTTTCTATAAAGATATCCCTTAAGCTGGCACATGTCTAGCACAAAATTATTGAGTATCTGTGCTCCTACTAGAAAGATTCCATCTTACAGTAGAATTTATAGCAGTTTTTGTGTCATAGATAGGAAACAGAAAAGAAGAAGTTCTTCTATCAACCTTAGGCTACTAATAAGCTACTTGGCAGACAGGATTAAAGTGGGTAGGGTCCCAAGTAGCCCTAAGACTTATGCTTCTTGGTTTAAATTCTGTGTTCCCATGCATTAACATATCTAAAGCATATTGCAGACTGCAGCAGGGAGTAGAAAGCCCAGGTCAGCTCTTTAAGATCTGACAGTTTCCTACATGCCTACAATTTAACCTAATTAAAGCTCTGAAACTGTAATTTTTTAATAATAAAACTAGAAAAAGTTTTATTATTACAGAAGAAGTTTCATAGAAATAAAATAAAGAATAAAGAAATAAACCACAATAGCTTTTTTCTCTAAATGAGCTAAAGATTTTTAAAATGCAAACACCATTATCAGCTAACACCAGTTCAAAAAGAAACTGAGAAAAATCTAGTGATTTTGTGACTAGCAGCTCTATTTCTACCATGCAAAAAAACCCCAAACAAACAAACAAACAAACAAATAAACAAAAGGGTAATGGAGAGCCATAAAAACCAAACAGTACAAACAAAAAATGAAAAAACTATCTAATTTCCTGAATAGCAAAAGATAGTCTGAAATGAAGTTACTGTACATTGCTGTATCATGTAGCAATGAAAAGTGTTCAGTTTTTCATTATGACCTTTTGAAAACCAGTCATAGACTGGATTGAACCATTTATTTCTAAAATCTTTCCTTCATAGATGATGATTTTCAAAAATGTTTTGATATTTTATAAGTAGCACAAGCAGAACTAAATGAATACAAATATTTCTGTGTGTGTTTAAGGTAACCCCCCTCTCCACATTTAACAGAAATATTTTTTACTAGCATGTCATATATAATAAATTATAATTTTACTTTTAAAAAGTGCACACAAGCAGATCATTAGTACATTAGTATTTGTTAGGATGGATAAGTTTTTGCAAAAGACAGAAAAGAAAAAACATCAATGTTCAACACGTTACAAATAACTAAAAATGAAATAGAATAGGTATTGTCCATGCACAAACTAACTTATGTTTTCTGTCAAAAAATATGAATTATTAATTAGATGTTGTAAATTACATATATTTAACTGAATGCACTACTTCTCCAAAAACATATCACGGCATATATCTATAAAACCAGGTAGAATTTAGAATTAAAACCAAAATCAGAACTGGTTTCTGTATTATCCCTATATCAGTTGAATATTTACATGTGTTTAACCTGAGGCACAATTCAGTCTTACTCAACTGCAGCTCGTGAGCTCAAGCACAAATACTTAAATATCTTACTGGACCTGTGTCACCATGAAAGGGTATATCAGCACATTCAGAGCTTAAACTATATATGCATTTAAAATACTTTCCTACTTATATTTGCAAAATATTACTTCAGTATATTCCTGAGCATTATGGAATGTAGGGCAAAAAAGGCTGGACAGGACAGCCTCGTGGTGGCAACTCTCCCATGCAGTGCAGCAGTTCATGACATATTGGTGCTAAACTACAAGGAAAAGAAAGGAAGGGAACATAATGCTCTAAATTTTTGCTTGTCTTAGTAGGTTAGATGTCATTTTCTCAGGCAACTAGGTTTCTACAGTAACAGAAGTGTAATGACTGATAAACACTATATAATTCCGGATATTTAAAATATGCAGATTACTGTGCAACTAGTCCATGGGTGTTTTCTTCCTCCACGTGATTTGAAAGATAGCCTGTGATCACCTGCATTTACTATGGACTAAAAGGACACATGTAAGATTTTACAGCACAGAACCTAACATAAGGTAGTAAATTCACAGACCAATGTAGAACTTTGTGTGCATACCCCACACTTACACTCCTGCCACTGCTGTCATGCAGTCTGCCTTTTCACTTCTGTGCCATGAACAGTACAATTGTTTATATCAGTAATACCAAGTCCACTTCCTATATGACCAGCCAGTAGGACATACAGTAATGACTGACCTGCTTCTCCCTGCCCACAACAGACATTTTCCTAGGGAAGAACTAACATTAGAGTACTCAATCCTGCAAAATACTATAAGACCGCAACAAGCTTTTCTTCCAGCTTTTCCTTAGAGCCAAATCTTGAAAAAAGTTTCTTCACTTTAAAATAGGTTAAAGAGTTCAGCCAAACATTGTTATGTATGCAGCTTTCAAAAACTGCACATAATTCTGGATGCTCTGGTTCTTGTTCTCTGACTTCTGAAGGCTGTTCTCCAGCTCTTTTAAACATATTTCATGGTGCTTTTCATTCTGGTAAAAAAGGAGAAATACAAAGCAACTTAGAAATAAAATGTAAATTAATCAAAATAATAATCTAAGACTACTGGTACTTAATTTTGTAGCCTTACTTACTTGTAAAAGTTTTAAGAGGCTCTGCAAAACCAAAGGTGATAGAAAAGGCCTCAAAACATTGAAGCTTTTATTTGTGTTAAGTAAGGAGCAAACTGAACATGTTTGAATAGTTTTGTAATCCAAAAAGGCCTTGGAACATAAAAAATAACTTTCTGAATTTTTATCATGAAAGATTCCTAGCATCTCAAAACTATTCTATGGACATCTGTTAAGTCAATGGGAGACGTCAATGTACAAAGTATGTTGTCAAGTTGAATTAATTTGCTGTTCTGAAAAGAGTGTATCAATTGTATTAGTGGTGTGTTTTCAGTTAAAGGAATTTCTGTAAATGGTGATGTGGTAAGTAATTTCTTAAGTCACAAACAGTATTATTTACTCACATGGTGAAATATGCAGAGGAGTTGTTTTTTTTCTTCTTTCCCCTCTCTCACTTCAGTTTCAAGAACTAGCAGTTTTGTCTGAAAAGCTTGTTCTTTGTATGACATTTTTTCCTGTTCTTCAGCTACCTATAAAAGTAATGAGAGAGAAATTATATATATTTACACTTTCTTAAAGCCCAAATTAAATTATTTTCTTATATAGCATTAATAGCTCTATTTCATCTAATACTTTACTTGTTTCCCATGCACAGAAATTAAATAAACCTGAGAAATATTCTGGTTAAATTTGAAAGATGTTTTGATTTGAAAAAAAATGCAATATTATTGGGAGGGGAACCTGTTTTAAACTCATTTTTAAGTTAAGCCAAACTTGTAATTCTTTGAAAACCAAATAAATATCTTCAGAGAGTATTGAAAAAAATCAGATAGTTTATTTCAACATGACTCATCTGAAATTACAACTTCATACATATTTTCTGACTAAACTAATATAATTCACTGCAATGTAAATTTCCACACTTCCTCTTGCATTTGGTTTACTGTTTGCATCCTTTCTACGAATTGCAAAACTGAACTTAATATTGAAAGCATGCAAATTCTTCCTTTAAAAAGAGAAGGATTTCAATACCAAAGTTCTTGTGGGGTTCCTATTCCAAAGAAAATAAAAGGCAAGATTAAGCTTATCTTGTCCCATCATTTTTTCTCAAACACATTTGTTTTTAATGCTGTTTTTAAATAGAAAGTGGCAAACAAGATTGAGAGATGTTTTAAATCACCAATACCATTTTTCTCCCTTTTTCCAAAGCAGATTCAAGTTGTCTGGTTAATGCATTATATTCTGCAATTTTCTCTTCAAGCTTCAATTTACTGCACTGAAGACTCTGATCTTGTGTTCTGAGCTGACAAGCAAGTTCTTCATTCTGAAATTCCATCTTTCCCAATTGCCTTCACACAAAACAGATTAATGCATTATAATTCACTATAACAGAAAAGTGTAGGAATTAATTTCCATCAGATTTTTTAAAGGTTACCTTTTAAGAGCTTCATATTTCCTCTGAATGTTACAGTTCTCTTCTTCTAAGGAAAGACTGCCCATAGAAGTTACATTATTGTCATCCTGTGAAAAGGATAATTTGTTTCTAGTTGAAGAGACCTATATGCAGGATCTTGCTAGACTAAAGTAAGCTTGCCTATTAAAATCCAATCAAACAATTTAACTGAAATTTCAGATAAATGTTATACTATATTCAGATAAATGCCATATTATATTCAAGTAAATATTATCTTGTATTTAAAACAAATAAAGTACAGCCAAAGTAGCAGACTAAAAGTTTGTGTGAACATGTTAAGATTGAAAGCCTGCTATGTAACAAAATGAAGTCCTGAAAAACTTCATATGCTGCTCATGCAGCCTTATGTATTAGGAGTTGGTCAGGTCTACCTCCCAGCAAAAAAAAAGCTCCCTCACACTAGAGTCACAGAAAACATAAAAATAATACTGCATATATATGTATGGTTATTGCAGAAAAACAATGTAGCACGGGCAAAGAATTTTGGAAAGAAGTGATTACAAAAAAGACAACCAGGTTCATGAAAGGAGGTATATCAGCAGCAGAAGCTGAAGAAAGCAAGAAGTCAAACTATTTTCCCTTGCCCAGCATGCAGAGGGCTGAACTTTTTTTACATGTTTTCTTTTAAATCTCAGAACATCTCACTAGCGATGAGATTATTGTTCTTGCTACCCCCCATCAACAGCAGATTAACAATAAACTGCCACACCAAGAGCCTTCTGGCACCATTATTTAAAGGGACAGCCACCATCATTCACTGGATTACCTCAAGCAGTCCCATCCAACAACTTGAGCTACTCTGCCTGATTTTGTTTGTGTGAATCACAGGCTGTTCAGCTGGCAGACTGGTAGTAGCAGAAACCAGTTCCCCTGAAACTCAGAAGAGTGTTTCTGTACATGGTGCAATTGCTTCAAAAGGAATTTTCCTAAATTCTGGTCATAGGTTCAAGAGTCAGAATCTTTAAAGGACATCACCAAGACCTAATGCTGAAATTTAATTACTGTTCCACCAGACTAGTGATTATATGTCCAATTACTTCACTATACTTAAGAGGTTCTTTTGCACTTTTTCAGGAAAATGTAGTTAGATTGAAATTACATACATCATTTTACACGATGTATTAATTTTGAACCCTGAAATTCATTGTTGCCTAAGTAGTTCACTAAGCAATTATGGATTTATAAGTTTATGAGCATTCCTGGAAGAATTATTTAAAATGAGGCAAACAAGAACCAAAGTTGATGTTATAAAGATCATCTTGACATGAAATTTAAAACAAAATCAAGAGCTATGACTTTTATAAACGTATGAAATCTATAGGAACACAGAGGCTCACTGTGCTTCAGCTGAAGTTTTCCCACTGACACAGGAAGAAGGTTAAACCCCTTTCCCATCCTACTGATTCAAAAACCTTTGTTATTTGTGTTAGCAGACTATCCTCATCTAACTCAAAAGCTCATTAAAAAAAAAAAAACACAACAAAAAACCACACACAAAAGAGAATAAGAAAAAATCCTAAACTTACCCTGCCGTTGAAACTGATGTCACAGAAAAAAAAAGCTGAAGAAAATTCATACTCAGACTTTGAAGAAAATACAAGCATTATGTTAAAAACAGCCAAAAATAGAAATTATCCTATTAAAGCATGTTTTAAAAATATTTAATCAACTAAAATAATGTAATAATTAAAATACTCTACAACAACAATGTAATTTATCAGATTAAATATTGTATGGTTTATGAATTAGTTATTAAAAACAAAGGTAGAATTAAATTATTTCACTATACACAAACAATAACTAGATTTGCACGTTTATTTCTAGAGAAGAATTCTTCAATGCATCTCAGGACATAAGCATTCAAAAAGATCAAGAATATGCTCACTCTGAAAGTAACTACTCTTGTGACATAATGAATTCACATGAATACAGTTGGCAACAGTTTTATTTGCATTGTGTTATTTCTACAGAAGAAGCTTTTGATTTATGAAGCAAATGACAAAGGAAACTGCAACTGTCACACACGCTAACAGGAAAAAAAGTCCCAAAGACTTTTTCCACATAATTTTCTCATTTATCTTTAAAAATCAGCATGTTCTAACCACGTGAACCTGCAGCTTCCTAAGGGTTTTGGATTTCTGTGCATGGATCCTTTTTCAGAACATAAGTGTTTGCTGCTTTTCCTCAGCTGCTTTCAGCAAGTCACAAACATGTTCTAACTCCTTTAACTCAGCCTCTGTTTTGTCCCTCACCTGCATAGTAGCATCACAGGAGAAAAATGCAAGTGTAAAACCATAAATTTATTGTTGTAGTACTTTACGGATTTCCATGTAAGTAATAAAGCTGAAATTCTACACAAATTGCATAATATCACCTGTTTTATAAAATACTGACAAAGATCCAAGTTAACCATTGGAGAAATTCCCATCTCTGACTACATTTCCTTAAAGTCTCAGTAACACTCACAAATTATGCATGTCTTAGCAGTTCACCATGCAATACCCAAACCTGGATTTTATTTTTATAGAAATACATTTTGGGAGATGGCATACAGACACACTAAGTAGCTTACAGAAAAAATTCTGACCATACAACTATTGTAGTATTTGAAAAGAAAGCAGCACCTCATGGCATCTGAAGCCACATAGAGTGGTGTGTAAATATTATTTGTGAGATAAGAAAATATTTTTCTGCATTCTAAATTTCCATCATGGAAAAATAAAGTTAGTATGAAATAAAATGAACACCTAAGATGCTTCTCTGTGAGGACTAATTCTGTACTCTGAAACAGAACATTGCAGGCAAAGCCTGTCCCTGTCTCAGCTTTATTGCTTAAAAGAATATGTATTTTTATGAGTTATGGAACTGCGGAAAGTGATTTTCATACCAATTTTGTATCTTTTTCAGATGTTTAAGAATGTAGTAACTGTGTTCCAGTATTTAGCTCCATCTGCCGAAAAACTTAAAACTCACCTCTGAATTGATTCTCAGTTTTAACAGCTAAAAAAAAAAAAAAAGCAGCCTTACACTAGGTTTGCTTCCATACAGAACTTTCACAGCTGTTCTGTTGAGAAGCCTAGTTTCAAAATCACCAACAACAAATCACATTTTTGAAAGTGATAAAAGAATGCTGGAATTCTGAAATAGCAGCCCAACTCCTTAGTCGCTGCTCCAGGAAACATTTCTCCCCTGTTTGCAATTGTGTGGTATCCAAAAAACTACCAGCTCCAGAGAGCAGTTAGTAAAACTCTCTTGTTTAAAAACAGGAGATAGTACCTTGTGACTTCTAATAAGTGGATTACAATAATGTAGGAAAGATCAGTGTGCTACAGAATTGTTTGGAAACATGCTTTATTACTGTAAAACTTACCTTATCTTCTTCCAAGCATTTGTTTTCTGTTATTTTTTTGTTTTCATTTAAGACTCTTTCATACCTAGATTTCAATTCCTCTGCTGCTATTTGTAGCTTTTGTACCTAGGACAACATATATTTTTCTTATATATTTGCAAGGTCTTTCTTTTAAATACAGAAAAGATAGAATCATTAGTATGAAGTATAAAGGAAAACTTTTGATTTCTAAATAGTATCTTAATATTTGTCATTAGTTGAAGTTATTTATTTTCATTATCCTACTCACCACAGCAAGTATAAAAGGGTAATCAGGTAAAGAGCACTGTCGTATCAATATTGTGTTATCAACAATGGAGAATGAGCTACAGTTGTGCTAGAGAAGCAGCCAGCATGACTCACATTTCTCTCCTCAGATAACAAGTATCATCAGCACTTTCACCTGGAGTCACTACAGCTACGAGCGGGGGAATTTCACTTCACTCACTGCTTAAGGCTGGCTGTTACATGGAACTACATCTCCCATCTTAAAGCTGGCAACAACTTTAGTTATGATGATGCATTTCACAGACAAGGTTCACTGGTTGTACTTAGATTTTGTATCATGTCTTTTCCCTTGTCAATGATTTTAAAAAAGAAATATATGAAGAATGACGGTGAAATGACGTCTATACAATAGCAGGAATATATTTGAAATATATTTGAAATATATACATATTTCTCTGTGAATAAAGCCAAATGAAAAAAAAAAGGAATTGATAAAAAGCCCATTTTAAGTTCGGTTTATTTGTTTTGCTGGTATTTTCAGTGTGGATTTACCTATTTTAAAAAAAAGCTCACATAATATATATTTATTGAATGAACTTGAATTTCTTGAACTTAATTGAATACTGGTATACTGATAAAGATATGACCCAGTAAGAGGTAAAATATCATTGGATATGTCCACTGAAGACATCAGATTCAAACTTAACTTTTAAAATATACAGTTTACTGGGTTGTTAACCTGCTTTTTAGGCAGCAGATCTTCTCTAAGCAGTATGCAATTAGCTCTGTTGGCTTAAATGAGCTTTCACTGGGCTTCACACAGTTCAGTAGGGATTATGTGTACTAGTAACAGTGTGGGGACTACTCTGATGTGGTTTGTAATAGCACTCTCTTCTATCATACTCAATGTTACGACAATAATACAATAACCATAACAACAAATCTGGTCTATTACAAACAAAACCTTTATTACTTCCTCGAAACTGCTAACAAATTTTAAAAAACACACTTGAAGATTTCAAACATGCTAGTCACCTCATTTTTATGCTGTTCAACGAGATTTTCCTGCAGCTTTGCCTTTTCCTGCAGATGTAGCAGCTCATGTTCAACAGAAACAGTACTTTTCTCCAATGTAGCAATGGAAGCCTTGATTAAAACATAGAAAATATAAAAATTTCAATGGTGTTATTAAAATAACAATATACAATATGATTTTACTAGCAAGTGACCTGCAGGCATTAGAAAGAATGACACCATTATTTATCCTGTCAAACAAAAATGGTAGTCCACAGTTCATTTGTCAGTTAACAAGAACATTTACCTTGGAGGATAAATTCAATGCAAAACCTGTCAACTCTTTAGAAGTTGAAATTAATAAGGTAAACTCAGTTCTTTAATTTGAAAGAAAGTTTTACAAACTCATACTTCATATGAGGACATTAAGATTTGACTGCATAGTTTGAATAAGGTTTAATAACTTTGTGCTGCTTTTCCTTACATGAATAAACAGTACAATTTCTAATTAAGCAATTGTGTAGCTACTGACAGTAAAATAAATAGCATCCTTGTTATGCAGATGGATCATCAGACAACTCTGTTCCTTGCTTTGCCATAAATTACCACTGAAATATTTTCAATGTCTCATTTACACTTACTATAAAAAATGGATGACAAAATTTATTCTACAGGTTAGGGATCTCTACACAGAACATCCAGAGGGAATTAATGTGGTTAGTTCATTATGTATCAGAAATGTAGAGTCATTCAACAATGATTTCTAATGGTCTCACCTTTAATTTTTCATTTTCAAGGTAAATCTTTTCATTTTCAGAATTACCAGAATTTAGCTTCCTGAGAATTTCCTCCTCTGAGTTTCTTCTCCATTCCTTCCTTCTTTCCAATTCTTCCAGCAGGCTTGTGATCTGACTTGTTAAACAGGCAAGAACTTCTGTATAATATACAATGTTTCCAAAACTCTCACTATGAAAATCAGCTTGAACCTCAACACATTCTCCTTCATTGCTTTTATTTTATATATACATATATAAAATATATATATATATAAAGGGGAGAACGCATTTAAGTATTCAAAGAAAGGAGTATCTACTAAAATAAGAAATTCCCCAAAGGAAGACAGTTTCTATTCCAAGGAAATGGTCCTAGTTCAATTATAAATGAATTAATTACGTAGAACACCCTGCCTCATGCGCAGCTCCAGAGCAGCCGTCAATCAAAAGGTCAGTCTGGAAGCACACCCACACCACACCCTCTGGAATCCCTACCCCAGCCTCTGACTGGCTACACCACCCTTCATTCCAGCCTGGAGCCCCAGAGTGGGCAGTGAGCTGGAAGTCCTGCCTGGGAGGGGTGGCCACAGGGGCCAGAACACATAAATACAGCAGTACATGGTTTCTGTTTCTCTGTCCTGGGGCCAACCTCCACCGTATGAAGCTCCACTTCCATAGGACTCTATGACAGTAGCTGTTTTTCTGTCATTCTTCTCTTAATCTCTTTTCTCTCTTTTTCTTTCTTTACTGCTTTTTTAATATTTTGGGTAACTTAAAAGCACTGGGTTGGATTTTGCTAGGTTGTGTGGGTTAGCAAGTGCCAGTTCATAGCTTTGGTGGAATGCTTTGTTTTGGTTGTATGTTACCCCTTTTAAACTTTTGCCAAGATCTGTATTTTCACCCATATTTATCAGTAAAAGTGTCTTCTGAGAAAACATGTGCAATGTTTTCTCTTTGTGCTATTTCAAGGTGTTAAAGAACTGAAGGCTCTGCAAAAGTTCAGTGGGTGTTCTTTTGGAGCCTTATGAATATTTTTAATAGTAAAACTCCTGGTTGAGCTTGTCATTCCGTGGCTGGGGTCTTACAGCCTCACTTTTTCTTTTCATGTTAATAAAGTTAACAAAATTTGTTTTGCTGTTTAGTCGGTCATACACTGCTTAGTAGAACAAGTCTTGTTAGAATGGTACATTTCAAGCAAAGACTTATACTTTCAGCTGAAATAAAACCAGTAAAAAAACAGCCAGAAGCAGAATGAGTATTTGAGAGAAGTATCATAAATGCATCACTTTTCTTGTTCTTTCATAGATGCCATCTTATATACACTGGACCAATAGTGGGCTAGAGAGATTTCTGGACTGATGTTGTGCACCTGCACTCCTGTTAAATATTTGAGAATGAATCAAGTTCTTTGTAAAATAAACATTGTCTGAGACATAGAATAAAGGCACCTCACAGTTCCTTTGCCTTGTTTGAATTATAGTCCATATTTCTATTAACAGAAAAGGTAAAAAAAGATTTGTCACTATCTGCTGAAGAAAATTGCATATCCTTCCTATGAGTACATTAAGATTTGACTGCATAGTTTGAATAAGGTTTAATAATTTTGTACTGCTTTTCCTTACATGAATAAACTGTTCAAATGGACACCTGAGAGGAAACCTTCTCTATCCTCTGGTGAGGTGAGACATTAGTGGGGCTGAAATAATTTTAGTATCATCAGTCTGAAGTAGAAACTAGAACCCCAAGAATGTTCTTCTATACTGTGGTAGATACAAGGGTTAACACTCAAGCTGTTGAATCAGTTAATAAATCAGTGGTTATGCAGAGGCAGCATAGTAGCTACTAGCAAGTTCAGGCTAATCAGAAGTATGCAGGGGAAAGAATATTCCCCTTTACCAGTAAGGAACATAAAGATTTAAAAGAAGGGAAATGCTGCAGAGAGAAGGCTAAAAATCTTAAATTTGTTCTTATTTCCAACTTCTAAATTCTGCTCAGAATTTTAGAGTATTAATAAGCTCATTTACATTGTCAACACTGAGTACTGCACTAATAAATATCAACACTACATGACTACAGAAACAAAAAGAAAATAGATCAACAGTCCAACTTACTTCTTAAGATCTTCTGTTTGAATTTCTAACATTGTCTTTTCTTCAAGCATTCTATCATGCTGGCTTTTCCAGACATCAGCAGTGGACAATATCTCACGCAATTTGACTTCCTAGAGAATGTAGAAGTCATAAATTATGTAACAGAAGAATGCCATTTAATTCTACAAATTTTTTTGAACACGAGAGCTATTTAATATAAGATGCCTTTATTGGATCTCCCTTGTACAAAGCAATGTAAATTTTGTCTTTTCTCAAAGTAAAATAAACAAAACTACCCATATTGTTCTGAGTTAGTTGGTACTTATCCATAAACAACTAACAGGAAGACCAAGAGAGGTTTGACCAAAAGCTGATGAGACTCCTCTTACTTACTACAGTTTGAAGTGTACAACCTCATGACTTAAGACAATCGCTAAATTTTAACAAAACAAAGGTAGTGAATACTAAGTTTGCATGTCACTTACAGCAACCCTTTTCTTAACCAATGAGCAACAAAATAAAAGAGATACAAGCACAGCATGACCAAACAACTTTTTCTGTTTGCCACAGGTGCAAGTCTTCCAGTTGTTCAGTTTAAACAGTACAGCACAACATCGCTTACTGCAGAGTCACTCACATGTTCTCTTATTTTGGAGGTTAAATTTTTTGCAGCTTCTTCAAAGAATTGAGCTCTTTGTTTCTGGGACCACATTGCTTTTTTCAGAGCAATCTTGTTTTGTTCACTTGTTTCCTTTAAGGCTGACTTCTGGTGCTTGTATTCACCAACTTGATGTTTCCACTTTGCTATTTTCTTTTCTAGATTCTGCAACAGAACTAGACATCAACTCTTCAAATTCTAAACCCCACAGATATTTTTGTGATATAATCAGGAATAGCAGTTACATATATAATCTGTTTCCACAATATCTTTGTATCTCAAATGTGGTGGTTGATACAATTAGCTAGTTGAGATACATACAGCAGTAGACAAAAGAAAATACATATTGGGAAACTCATTACAAAGATCTGGAGAAGAGGCTGAGAAGGTGCAGAAGCAAGGAGTAAGGCAAAAGATAATCTAAACATCGTTGTGTGCTCTTGGAAATGAATGCAGAATTTCAATGTAGAAGGCATGACATGGATGTTAAACCCATTTATGAGTGGGAAAGTAACATTGTTTCGTCATTCCTAGAGACTGATTTCTGTAAAGAAGATCACCTTAATGATGCTACCAGTGATATGCACTGATATCCATAGTGACACACACATTACAGGTCTGGAGATAGGCTGTATGACTGTATATGAAATTTTAATATGAAAGCTAATATCTTGGATTTAGTTTTTTTTAAAGTCAGGAAGGTAGGATAGGCTGGGTCTTTTCTTGAATATATGTATTACGATATGTTCTGATTAGATGACAATATACTACCTTCTTGCAAGATCTGTGAATTTTTTCCATGTACAAAATGGCCCCACTCTATCAATAAAACAGATTTGTTTAGTGAAGAAATGATTTCTAAGTGAAACAGAAAATGCAAAAAGAATAGATTTAGCACTGCCTTATCCACAGCAGACAGTTGTTTAAAGATAATTAAAACAGGCTATGATGAAGCTTAACCACAGTGGTAAATCACACATTTTAAGGGCAACTTCTAAATATCATTTCCTGAGTGCTTGATTTTGCAGCACTCAAGAAATAAAATACATTCACATTAAATGTATTTTAATGCATTTAATTATCAAACATGTACAAAGCAGTCGAGATGAGAGCTGAGTTCTACAACTGCCATTATACTATCTTCTCTATTGCTGTTATTTCTGACTAACTAAACTTTTATATCACTCTGATGAAGGCAGTGTACTGATCCCATTCATTTCAGGAGGCTGGCCTCTCTAACTTTGTGACTTTTGTATTTTTCATCTACATACCACATAAATATGAATGAAAAAAACCAGTGGGCGTTAGAACACTACATGATGATGTACAACAAAAGCCATACTAGATGCTGCTTCAAGGAGAATCTCAAATCCACATGAAAATGACCAAACTACCAGTGGATAATGACTTTAATAAAGGCAAGTGTAAATCCCATTCATACCACTTGTTATTCTTCCATCAGTGTAAATAATTTTCTCAAATCAGTGATAAATATTCTAATTGTAAGAATTATTTCTGCATTTGTTTCCTTCATTGTAGTCTAGGTCTGATACTAAATTATGTTCTACAAGAATGAAGACCTACTACTTAGCTACTGACTATGTTAATGTGCCAGCCTTATTCAAGATACACTTTGCCAGTTGCAATAAAATATGCATATTATGCACAAGAGGGTATTTCTGAGTATAGTCCTGCTAATGGCCTCGAAACTTTTACACAATCAATGCAAAATGTATGTGGTTTTCCAGGCAAAAGATGGTCTCAAGTCCTGGCATTCACCAAAAAGTAGAAGTACTACTTCAAATATAAAACGATAATAAAACCCGCAAATATGAAGGAAGTTGTTTTCCTCTATAAATGCTTACAGGGCATCTAATACAAAAAGATGTGACTTGATGGGGTGGTAGATGAACACCCTCAATAAATACAGAAATAGAAAATCTGAGTCTATGTATGGATTTTTTTAACTGTTGGTATAGGTAAACAAATGTTATCCCCTGTTATAACCACAGGGGGTCACAATCCCACTAAGAATAACTGCTTTGGGCATTAGTCAGGGACTGCTGTAAATTTAAATTGAGAAATAAATTCCTAAGGGTACTGCTAAACTTTTGCAAGCTTTGTCTAGATATTGATAAAATCATCACCAGGATTAAAGCTAGCCACCGATTTCAGCAGTTTCTGAAAGCAAACAAAACCTTTAAATAAAGATTGAATGAAAGTACAGCTGTATATGAATTTTACTTTAATGTCAATATCATTGAAATTCTATAATTGTATTAGATGGAACAAGAAAGCAATTTTTATTTAGAAGAAAATGCGGTATTTATGCAGAAATAGACATGTGTGACTTGAAATTGAGTTGATATAGGTTGCTTAATAACTTCATATGACACAATTAATAGGGGATATACGGTAGTAAAAGAAGTCTGGAAATTAGAAATACATTATTTTTAGCCAACGTTTTCTCATTCATGCCTATGTTCTTGACAGGTTTCAAATACTGAAATTTGAGGCCACATACAGCTCTAGCCTCTCACACATGACCTCTTCCTTGTCTTTTTCTAAAGCCAGCAACTGATTCAAATGCCCAAATTTAACTCTTGCTTTCTAGAATAAAAAATGGAAATAATTTAACCTACCTTAAACAAAGAGAGATTAGGCATTAGTCTTAAGTGTTTCACTTTCAGTTAGTATTAAGAGATTTATTGATTCCTTCATAGACAATGAAAACAGGGTGTGGTTCATCATCCCTATATTAGAACAGAAACAGGACTTGCCTATCTCTTTCTTTTGACTATATTGAGACTCTCTCAGGATCAATACCTGTCTTCCAGATAGCACAGTTAAGTGAGTGCAAACACTTCTATATTTGTTAAACTTCGCTTTACCAGAACTGCTTATGTGCACAAGTTGAGAAAAGAATAAAAAAAGAAAACAAACAACCTTGCAATTCAGATAATGTGGTCAGGCAGACTGTGCAAATTATAAATACGTATGATTTTTACTGTTCAGGATTTTTCTTTTATCAAAAATATGATTTCAAATCTGAACACAATAAAGTTTTGCTATTTTTTTCCAATAAACTGGAACACAAGTAAAAATCTTTTGACCTGTATTTTTACTTTTAATTCACCATTTTCCGCTTCTTTTCTTTGAATCTGACACTGCAGGTGAGCTTGTACTTCCTTTACTGATCTTGACAGGTGGTTTCCTTTCTGTGTATTGATCTAAGAAAGAGAAATAAACACAAATCTATTGGTCTATGGAGATATGCTGTATGATGCTCTCTATATTGTTTCTACTTTGACATATTTTCTAACTGACATTCGAATGTCCTCAAAAGCTGGAAAAGATAAAACATGCTCTACAAGTATATTTACAAGCAGTAGCTTGTTACTATTAGTATTAATGTTAATCAGAAATCACAAACTTGAAACACTGTATGTATAATTGATGCTTCATATTTAATCTGACTTTAAGTAGTATGAATAAGGCCTGGAAGCATGAACACAAATCTAGCTAGCAGGATGACTAAAATTAAGCTACACTGATCAACTGTACTCTGCCTAATTAGACTTGATCTTCATTAAATTCCGAAGACCACCACCTGCTATTAAAAGTATTGATACATTTAATTTAAACTGTAATTTTAGGGCATTACATATATCATAATGGAAGAGGCAACTTTTGTCATCAGAACTTGGGTCAGATGATTCTATGAAATTTCTCCCACCTTGATTCCTTTGGCTCATTCTAAATAAGAAGTAATCAGGTAGAAAATTGTCATATTATCAGTACAGACCAAAAAAGCATTGAATGCTTCCATGCAAGTGTTCATTATAGATACCAGTAAGAAAGGTAGACTCAGACTCAATCAAATATTGATGAAAATACCATTTATTGAAGATAACATAAGAAGGAGCATAGAAAATCATTTATCCCTTCAGATGCTGGGTACCCTGAATTGTTCAACGTTAGATAGATCTCTAGTCAGACCAAGGCATGCTACACAGATCCCACCAACACTGAGGTCTGCTGGCATTGTGGTCTTCAGTATCTTTATAGGCTTTTCTGTTCAGCATTTCTATTTTCAAGAAAAAGGATGTTTCTACGAAAATGTGCTCCTTCACTTCAGGATAAAGACAAGGACATGCCTAACTGTGAACAACATCTGTTTAGTTTACTCCATAATACTTCCCTATAAGTGCTTTTTTAACAGAACTATTGCAAATCAGTATATGAGAGGTCAAAAGCCCCACTAGTCTGGATGTGTGCCCTTCCCTGAACCTTGGGACATTAGTGTTAAGGATAACCTGTATCCTTACTAGGATTGGATACAGTCTTGATGGTCTTAAGATATTTCTGTAGGAAACATCTTTCAGTATTTTACTTTTTTCATAGATCTTTGAAATAATTACTTTTCTCAAAATTTAAATTTTTAATTAAGAATCTAGTACATTGGAAGAAAACATTCCAACAGAAGTGACCACTCACTTTTTCACACTGAAGCATGGATGAAAGTTCTTTAATCTGTTTCTCTCTTTCAAGTATTTTTTTCCTGAGATTCTTCATGAAAAAAAAAAAATAACAAAGAAAGTATTTTAATGTCTGTACACAATAATGCAGCAATAAAGCATACTGACGAACATTTCAGCTGTAAAACTTAGATTCCATTTTGTGACGATAAACCACAAATATTCCCACTTCGCCACTGTTACTGGAAATAGTATGACCCTGTGATGTAGCCAATTTCAGATGTATGGGATAGAATAAAAAAATAAAATTTTAATTTACTTACTGTATTTTGAGTTTCATTTTCACTTAGCTTCTGTATCAAAGTGTCAATGATTTCACTGTTTAACTGCAACACAGGAAACATTAAAAATTACCTCTGATTATAACTGATTTAGCATTTTTTCAATCGTTTTAAATTGGTTACATATCATTTGCTACATTTTCACATCTGGTACACATGAATATAAAAGCTCAAATATTCACAAACTTAAACCTTTAAGATTCAATTTATTTTGTGCATAGAACTTTGTAGCTGAAGGAAACAAACTATGTTTATTCCATAGACCTACTTCTCTCTTAATTTTAGCTAAAAGGGCTTTAAATGTCATAAATAAGTGTTATTTAAGCACATATATAGTCAAATGGCAAAAGTATTTGTAGAACTTGCAATGTTTCAAGGAGTAATAATAAGTACTAAAGCCTTTCAGGAACCTCAGTTAGATAGGAGAATTTGAAGATTGAACCAGAAAGTATAGGATGGAAGATCACAAAAATCAATCTACATTAGCTCTTACTAGAAATTCAAAAGAATTTATGTGCCTGTGATATTGTCAACTAAACTTGCTGTTTCAAATTGTCCAACTGTGTGTGTGTTGTGTAATTTCCCATTTAAAAGAAATAGACTTGTGTGACTTTCAGATTGCAAATTCCATTTCAATTTCACTAATGGGAGGATAAAAACTGACTCAAGCTGGAAGCCTCAGAATCAAAAGTTTTACTACAACTCCTTCATTTAATCCTGTCCTGCATGTAATTCCTCATAATGTTCTGTAATCTCAATCCCATGCCTATCCGTAAAGTCAGTCCGTGGACCTCAATTCTGCATCCGGATTTCAACCTCTGCATCTACTGCAAACTTATTAATACTGTATTCAGTAGCAGTCCTAACCTTTCCTGACTAAAGTGAGTAAGATTTGCTATCAGAAAAAAAAAATATATAAACAGAAATGCTGTTTTGTGACAGCATAGTAATTTATCAGCAAAAATGGAAGTACTTAGAAGACTTCCCAGAATTGAGAAGTGACCAGAAACCTAAATCACTCATCCCGTCTTCCGATTCTTAGGAAATTGTCTTCCCCACAGTTTGTTCTTTATGAACTTTCTGTCTTTTTGTTGAATGATCAACAAAAAGCCTCATGCTGTAAGAAAACTAGTACTGTCTATGAAAACCTGAAAATCAAGAATATTTTCTTCAAAATTAAAAATAATGTTCAGAATAAGCATCCATTTTCATTAGCTTCTGAAAGAGAATTAAGAAAGTCAGCAATGACAAATCACATTTAATTTTAAAAGAAATCTACATTCTTCACTCCACTGAGTTCCATATGACTCTACTGTTATACAGAAATTCAATCTGATCCACCTCCTGTTTTAACATACATAGTTTGCCAAATTCCTTCCAAATTCTTAGGAACTTTCTTGGTGCCCAGGACATAACAAACAAACAAAAAAAATCTTCCCAATACATCTATTAAAGAAAATTACAAGACTAAATGTTTCTTTCACACTTGTGTGAAAAACATACATTTGCATTGATTCTATGTTTATGCCTTACATATTTTCCTAGGTGATGTTCTAGACTGTCAGATTCTTTGCTTTGATCAGTAAAATATTTTTATATTTTACTGATCAAAGTAAAAAATCAAAATATAAAAAAAAATATAAAATCAAAAGCCATCTTGGATGGCTTTTGTAGTTCTATGATAACCTTTTTTATATGGCTGAATCAGTGAACAGAGCTTTCCTGTTTCTCCCAGTTGTACATATGTTTTCCCCTAAAATGGCCCTCATAATTATGTAACATTTAGTTTACTTACAGTTAGGTCACTGATCTTGTTAATTCAAGCATATCAACATAAAATAAGTCAGCTCTTCAGGAGAATCCTTCAGGAGAAATTTTAAAGGTCAAAGAATCATTTAGGATTTCCAAGAAGGATAAAAGCCTGTGATATCACAGGATGTACCCCCAAACTGTTTGCTCACAGAACACACCTCATCTACAAGGCAAAGGCAAACAGTTTACCTCCAATGAAGGTGAAGGCCAAGACCTGCTCAGACATCAGTGTTGTTTTGCACAGCAGACTTCTTCCAATTTGGAGGTGGCAATGGCTTTCGTCTTTTCACAGTTTGGCAAAGCTCTTCACCAGGCAGGGCTGCTCAGGAAAATGATGCTGCCCATGTCATGGCAAGTCCCGAGCCATGTATCAGGCCTACCACCTGAATGCATCTCCTTCCCCCCCCTCTTCCTTATTAAGGACCCTCACTCCTTCTCCAAATGTCTCTCTTTTGACTCTCCCCTTCCACACCAGCATGACTGATGCTCTCACCAAGCACGAAGTTGTCTGTGTACTCAGTGCTCCACTGACTACTCATTATTTTTTCAGAATTGGATTACATTGCCTTCTCCACCCACCATTTCTCCCGTGCTCAGCCTGTGCCAGGTGCATCTCCATCAAAACAATTTGTCAGACTAAAGGTTTATATTCTTACCTCCATATTCTCCTTCACATAGTTGAGAAAATTAATAACAGAATTCGGGGAGTTCCCAACTAAAATGATCGCTTCTCACAGAATCAGAATGCAGACTGCTCTGCTTCCACCTGTTGTCTTAAGGCAAATAAGTACACTCCAAACATCTAATTTTTTTAATTAATATATATACGTGTGTGTGTGCACGCACACGTCTTGTTTTATTACAGGCTTACATTTCCCAGCAGACCTCAAACTGTGTAACACAGTGCAACTCTGTAGCTTTTTCTTGGCCATATAAACAAAACTAAGTTCTTGAATTTAATTACTTCCTGTGAAAACAGCATCTTGGAAGATTAAACATCATGCTTCATATATTATCTGTGTAAGTAGAAAAGAACAAATACAATTTTTTACATGGTTTCAGTATACTGTTGCTGTGTCCAGCACTGTCACCCATTTTTTGAAATATCACCTACTTCCCATCTAAAGCCAGGAAAAATATTTTGAATATTTTTAACAAAGTAAATAGAATTTAAAATATCAAGCCTAATAGGAACAGAATGAACTTGCCTCAGTAGCATGAGGAAGAATAAACTTTTCCTGAGGATCAAAGTCCACTAAAGGAGAAGTACAGTCAAATACAGGTAAAGACGAGGATGATTGTGATGATGATGACATTTTGTTTTATTGCTGTATAACAAGACAGTATATGTTAACATATATTGGTGTTCTGTGAATCAGTAACTAAAACATTATTGGCATCCCAGGTTGTTCCCACTGCAGTGGGACCAGTGTACCAGACCAAGTAAACCCCAGACACTTTAGAGATGTAACACAGCCAATGCAACTGAAATCTTGCACATATTGCTATTCATAATTTGCAATCACTTAGGCAGCACTGAATTCACATACTTGGTACACAGAAATCAAATCCCTCCATGGCAGAAAACTGAACACAAGGAGGTAGTAAAACTCGCAGCTGCGAGTTCCCACCTGCACGGATCCCGGCACAGAAGGTGAGGCGCTGGGGCACAGGACACCCAACGCCGGCCCCCGCCCCGAGCCCAGCCTCAGGCTCTCTCTCCTCGTCAAACGCCCCTGTACCCACCGCCTGCGGCTCCTGCTCCTGGGGTGTCCCAGGGTGACCCCTCCTTCAGGGCCCCTCCCGCTGAGCAGCGCCCCCTCAGCACCTCTCCCGCGGGACAGTGCCCCTCAGCACGGCTCCTGTGGGGCAGTGCTCCCTCAGCGCCTCTTCTGTGGGACAGTGCCCCTCAGCAGGCTCCTGTGGGGCAGCGCTCCCTCAGCGCCCCTCCCGCGGGTCACTCCCCGTCACCGGCGTCCCCACCTGCGCCCGCCGCCCCTCACCGCGGTCGCCCGCCGGGAGCCGTTGCCGCAGTAACGCGACACTTTTTTGTCGGAGGCTAAACACCAATTATTCATGTAACCTGACTCTATATGAAGCTGGGTTTTTTTGGCAATACATTGTCAAATATTATAAAAAAGCTACGTATTTTTAAATAACACGTTCTGCTGAAGAATAAACCAATTACTCTTGCATCACATCACAGGGGAAAGCACTATTGACACTTGAGGTGGCACTTTGGTGAATATCTGAGACACTGCTATAGACGTATGGAAAGATCACTTTCAGATAATGAAGTGTGCAAAACAGAATGATCATGTAATATAAATATGATCACTTGTACAGATGCATATGTACATACATAGAGACATGTACGTAGACACATATGACCATATGTAATTATAATTTGCAAGTTTTGTTTAGAAAAAGTCGTACTGAGAGAAATGTTACTTTTTAATGTGCCAAGTAAATATCAGCATTAGCAACTTATAATAAAAGAAAGCTTGAGACAAATAATCAAAATCAAAATAAAACATTGTTTGGCATAATTTTTAAACGTGCCAGTGTGTTTGTATTTTCTTCTATTGCTGGCAATGGAATTTCAGAGAGCAGTTATTCACTTTATACACTCTTTGGAGAATATTATCTAGTCATGTGCGCCCAGTAATAAAAATAAAAATAAAATGCTAAATGTCAACCTCTGTAATACCAGCAGACATGAAATCACTCCATCATCCATTCTAGAGTTGCACCTGAATTCGAAGGGACATTTTGTCTTTGCTCGAGCAAAAGGCCTAACGCTTTGTTCTCTATAGGACCCAGAGCCTGGAACTGAGAATTCACCATCTCCAACACACCTTTGCTTTGGCACTGCAGTTATGAGCTGTGGCTTTGGTATCTTTTAGTCACCTCAGGCAGAACTTGATATGATTGACTTATTTTTAAAAGAAAAGAATAAATTGTTGCAATTTTCTAAAAATTTGGTGATTGCTTATAAAATATAAAGCACGAACTATCCATTGGTGAGGGCTAATTAGCATGATAAGTAGCATTGCACCCTGTATATGGCAAACAAAGAATGAATTACAAGTTTCAGTCCTCAAGCCCACATTCTAATGACAGTGGAATAATCCACAGAGTGGAAAATTTTTAGAGTAAATATGACACACACTTCCACAATGACATAATTACAGGCCTTATTAAAAGAGATATGGTGGAGAGAAGCTTCTTTAGATACTCCAAGAACTCTGTTCAGTGTTTGTCACAGCTCATGACTTCATCTGCTCTAAAGGTATAACTGAACCTTTCATTTCCATGTCAGAAATTCAAGACTCCAATGTCTTTCTTTGTTCCTTGGTTAATTTTGGCAATAGCCTGCTATCACAAAAGCTGCAGATTTGCTGTGACCCTTTTAATACACTGTTCCTTCCTCATCCCTGTATGCACTGCTTGGTGCAATACTGACCACAACTTATTTCTCCCAGCAATTCTTAGACACTTGCTGCCTTACACAGAAGTATGTAGCCTGCAAAGACAGTGACGGCAACATTTCTGCAGTAGTCTATTGTATGGTGGCAGTGACATCTAGTGGGCTCCAACGACATTTCCAGATTTCCCAAATGTTCCAAAAATAGATCAAACCATCTCTTTTTAGGATGCTCTGACCTTGTTATAAAAGCATTTTTGAAAGTACAATCAAATATGAATAGTCGGAGGTTGAATTTAGTAATTAAGGCTGACTCTTACTTTAGGAGCACGTGGAAGATTTATTTTAATTAGGAGCTGAAGTTTATGGAGCTCTCTTGATAGTAAATGCTCTGAAGAAGTCATTTCAAGTAATGCAGGATTCAGCACTCCCCCAAACACCTCTGCAAAAAACAGAAAAACTTTGCTCTGTCGTGCTTCCTGAAAAGCATGTGGAAAACGACAGGGTAAGACTGTTGGATTTCCATGACTGTATATATAAACAGTATATCTGTTGAAAAGCTATGTGGGCTGTAATCTCAGTGGCTGACACAACTGCCACATGCCATTTCAAACTAGATATAAAAGATGTGATGGTTGATGTAAAACCATATAAGCTATGTTCCTCAATGTCTTCCCAATATTCTTAAAATAATTTCAGCTTCCAGCTTCCTACACAGACTTCATGATGTTCCATGAAGAAGGTAAGTTTAATTATTCCTATGCCACATGTGAAGAAATTGTAGTACCATGTATAAAATTACTTTCTCACAGTAATTATTAGCGAAGTGGTAAAGCTGCAAATATACCTCCAGTCATTAATCTGTTATTGCATAGTAAAAGGAAGAAACTCCAAAAGTTTATTACTATTTCCACAGAGGCCAGTTCCTCCAAGTATAAGATAGACAACTTCTTCTGAGATAGACAGCTGGGATGTAGGACCAAAGTATTATCTTCCTGCTCCAGGAAGTACGATATTGAAAGGACAAGGACCATAAAAACAACACATGATTTACCTAGACCAGTTCCCTGACATTTCAGGACTTTTGCCTACTGAACGTTTTGTCAGTTGTTGTGTGCAGTCCTAGTACAACTCCAGTTTGAGTGTTAGGGGAAGCACAGCAACAGCTGCCACGAGGACCATTGAAAGAGTGCACTAATGTGAAAAGAAGCATTAATTCTCACTCAGCTGTAGTTTCTGAGCGGAAGTGTGCTGTTGAGAACAGCTGCTTTCTGGTTCTGTCAAACCACTCCCCAGATTTTTCATGAAAGCCTGATTGTACACAGGCCAGGCAGCTGGAACAACTGATTTTTTTTTTTTTTAATAATCTTTGCCTGGTTATTATCAAGCTAAGCTCACAGTTGTTAATGTTGGCAAAGATTCTATAGACTCACACACAAATAAATGTCCTTATCTATTCCAGTAAAACAAATTTTGCTTATTAAATAGAGGTAAAATTTAATAAATTTATTTAAAATTGTGTATTCTACTCCTTTTATTTTTATATGTCTTTTCTGTACATTAATAAATGTTAAATCAAATTTACACACATTTATCTTGAAAACCTGGTTCCAGGATTCCTAATATTCTTCAAAGTATTAGGTAGAGTTCTGCAGAGTTGTGACTGGTAATACATTGCCAGAACTCTTAACTTCCCACTGTTATACTGCATTAAAAGACTATAAATACATAAATGTTAATAAAACATATGTTTTATGCAAATATATGCTGCAGTTACATATTCATGAGTGGGAAGAGAAGTGGTGTATATACACATAGTGACATATGAGCCATAAACCTCAGTGTATTACAGAACTAAATAAGTATGAATTCCAACATGGGCACTACATTATTGACATTAGATGGGCTACCAAAATGTGTTTGTTTCATTTACAGTGTTTTCACAGGATATAAACTGGCTTAAGAAGGCATTTCTGGGATTGCCTTTTTCAAATCTTTCACTCCAAAGCCTTTGGTTCAAACACGACCTTCCCATACAGTTAGCAAACAGTACTGGGATTCACCCGAGAATCATTTCAGTTATAAGCTATTATTCTTTATATAAAAATATTTTATTTTAATTATACTATAAATCTTCATATTAATATAATTTTGGTTGGTTGGTTGGGGTTTTCTATACGAATTCTATTTCTAGTCATACGAAGGAATGTTTCAGTGTCTGTTTGTATCCAACAGTACAATGCTGTAAAAGGTCTTTTTGGACATGTTATAAGCAAGGCTGAAGATCAGATAGTACGCAAAATATGGTGTTCACCACACCTGCTGGTGTATTGGTCTCTTCTTAATTGTCAGAGATCGGGGACATGACATGCTTTAATTTCTTTTTCGGCCTGAGACAATTTTTCAGCCTGACAATCTTATGGCTCCGATACTTTTACAAGTAACCATCACTGCTGTCTACCCTGCACTTCTGAAGGCAGCTACCATTTGATAGTGTTCCTGCAGCACAGCTCCTCAGTCCTTGCAGCTTATCACAGTGAGTTTGGCTATCTCTACACACTGGGCATTTTTTGAATATACCTTCAGCACTCTCCATGTCAGTATCTGGCTTGTAACTAAGCCTGTGTGCTAGGTATGGCTTTCCTTACCTGAGCCAGATATATCAGTTTATCCCTAACTCAAATCCCTGACAGTCATGTTTTCGGTTCTGGAAAGCAGTTGTAGAGAGGGACTGCATTTCCTACTAGAACCGGGTATTGAAGCTTCCAATAAAGACAGGGCAGACAGCCTGCATTTGGTAATATCCTAAAATGGCAACAGCAATCTCCAAGATTCAGTTGTTAATACTTGAATGTCTGTTCCTTCTAGGATGCCAAAAAGAAATTCCAGAGTTTGTCCTGAACATGTAATGTTCAGTACGTAATAGGCCTACAGCATGCAGAGAAAGAGAATGTCAAGAAAGAGAGTAATTCAGTAGTGTTTTAAGAGCAGTAGAATACCACGGAATTCAGGAAGCATAGAGTTCTAGGTTGTGATCCAATAACTGAATTTATTTTTACATGAAAGGATAAAATGGCGAAACAGTTATCCAAGCTAGAGTTTTATATGAAATATGTAAACATGCAGTAGAACAGATCTTCCTCTTGAATAAGTGCAGCAGTCATTAGTCTGAAGAGTAATTTTATCCCTCTCACTCACATTCTGACTGCTTAGCATTCATGAAAAGAGGAAGGATGTTAAAAGTGAGAACTGAAAAACCAGATCCAGTGCCCCACATATGCCAAGCAGCCCATCTGCTAATGGTGGAAGTACTGGCTACTAAGGCATTTTCCTAAGGAGTAGTATCATTCTGTTTGGGGCTCCTCAAGAAAGCAGCAATTAAAGTAGGTATTCCAAATCCTGCAACAGCACTCTAACCCTTGGAGGCTTAAAGGATGGGAGTCTCCTTCCTCTTCCATCCAGGTTGGGTTAGAAAAAAGAGGTATTTAATCATTTTCTGGAGGAAAAGCAGAGTGTCAAGGATGTCAGTTAATACAACACAGAAAGCAGCACCTTCCTCCCTGGCATGTGAGGTTCACATGTCATGGGCAGCAACAGGCTGCAAGTTTCAGGGACG